TGTTAGAGCAGAATATTACCCAAAGGAAGCTTTGCAGTACCATCTTCACTGCCTTGCTTTTTCCCACAATATGTCCCGATTCTGTCGCCACTCCAGGTAAACTTGTCCAAGCAGCCATTCATATCACACCACGCTGACACTGTAGTTTATTTGGGTGGTGGACAGGGATCGGCACTTTGCCCCTATACAACCCAGCATGCTGACAGTCTGTAGCTTTCAGCTGTATGTGCTCCAGGAGCTGTTGTGGGATCAGGCCACAGAGGCCAGGCTTCTCTGGGGTGTCTATGGGCAGAGGGATCCTGGGGGGCTGGTTATCTTTCCTTGGAGAACTTCACAAATGGTTGAGTACCTACGTCAAACGCTGCTTTCTTTGGCCTTTAATCACAGATTGAACTAACAACATGAGAACAAACTGTGTGACTGGTAGCAAAATGCCTAAAGATCCAATTACAATGGTTTATTTGGCTTGTCTGTCATAGAATTGCATCTAAATGTAGACAACACTGATTCATTCGTTCAGTTAGGTGATGATTGATTCATAGGTCAGTGTCATGTAGCTAAACAACATGCTTTCTGACGACTGTACAAAGACTGGAGAAAAACTGAGTGCGAAAGCAGGCTCTGTCCAAAGAGACACTTTGAAAGTCGAACTATTGCTGAAGACCAATTACAAGAAAGTTGGGCCATTGGAAACAAAATACAAACAAATTTAAAGCTGTTGCTCAATATGACAGTAAACGCAGATTCAGAAATGATACAATTCAGGTTTTAATTGTTGACTCTTGTTGACCCAACGAGGTCACCTCCTAGTTATGGTCCTTCATCCACTGTTCAGTCCAATGCACGATCTGCTCCAGGTTGTGCTCCATGTCCTCAGGAGTGTTGCTGGGAAGTTGGTGGACAATCTCCTTACTGTAGGCCTCCATGGCTTCCTCATAGATGGTCTGGAAGATCTCACATTGCACATTGTCCTGCAGCTTCTTTCCCGTGTAGCCCCTTTCAGTCACAAAGAAGACAGGGACAACTGTTCAATGGTTAAAACGATGAATCATCACTCAAATACAAAGAGACAGGGAGACAAGTCTCACGGCACTTGCTATTTCTGGAACCTGGATGGCTCAGCCACATGTTCACAGTCATTATGCAGTAGTAGAGAATGACTGTGATGCCTATGATAGAGCTACATTTACCACAAGCAGTGACAGCTCTGCTCTCGTCTGTATGCAGAAGGTGCTGAAGCTGGTTAGAGCTTGGAGCTGCAGGCAGCCATGTGTCT